ACAGCGCTCTTGCATGCAAATCCCTCAGGAACCTGTCTCTGTGTCCTCCCACCCTCTCACCCCTTATCCCTTTCCTTTTCATCTTCTTCCCCTTTCATTTCCATTCTCCCCACTGCCCCCTGTCCTGGCTAAGCATACAAACCTGATAGGAGATGGGCATGGTAGTAGCAGTGGCAGCAAGGAGTCCACGGCAGCAACAGGGAGTCCAAGGAGGTGGAGGTGAGGGTGGACACAGAGGGACAGGAGGTCATACAAGATGAAGAAAGCTGTACCCAATGCATGCTTGTGATGGATAGAGGCACAAAATACATCCAGGCAGGAGAGCTCTAAACTGAAGTGAAGACAATATAGAGGTCTATCAAATAGAATCTTACCAGAGATCCACAGGTAAAAGCCAAGAACAACTCAGAGACAAGTCAGTGTGGATATCTTACACTGACCTAGTGAAGTCTTTCTAGCCAGGTGGGCTAGAAAGAGACATTTGAGGCTGTAATGCAAACGTAAGCCGGATTTAGCTGTCTATCTGTCAAAGTAAAACTCCCAGAATGGAGAATTATCTTATTTTATTTTATTTCTCTACAGTAGTGCCTCGACTTATGAATGTCATGACTTGCAACCAATTTGACTTGCAATTAGCTTCAGTTGCAAAATTTTGCTTTGACTTGAGACCGGTGCTTTGAGATATGACCGGAAAAAAGGCTCCTTCCCTCCTTCCCTGCCCTTTTTTTAACATTAGAGGTCACCTTAGGTTAAAAAAAGGTCTCCCCTAGTGGACGGATTAACTGCTTTTACATTAGTTCCTATGGGAACTAGTGCTTTGAAATACAGCCAGTGCCTTGAGATACAACCCAAAAATGGCCGGAATTGATTAATCGCGTTTCAATGTATTCCTATGGGAAAATGTGCTTTGAGTGACGACCAACTTGAGTTACGACCATCATCCTGGAGCGAATTAAGTTTGCAACTCAAGACACCACTGTACTGCCTGATTAGTGATGAACATTACTCCAGGTGGTATACATGATAAAACAAGCAAACCCAAATTGCCCCACCCACAACAATATAACCTAATGTACCAAAAAACTTAACAAAAAAAGGCATACCAATGGCAGACATTAGTCAAATGACAATGACACAGAGAGGAAAAGAAATGAGGAGACAGAGTGTTTTAAAGAATTCTTCCCTTGCTAATTTTCTACATATAGAGGGAGGTGGGCTGGCATACCTCCAAGGGAAGTTTATTCCATAAGGATGGGGCCACCACTGAGAATGTTTGGCACCTCACTGAGAACTTTGTCACCTTTCTCAGTGTGGCCAACTTCAGTAGCAAGGCTTGGGAGGAGTGAGAGAAATGGGTAGGTTTTTTTTGTTTTTTTGTTTTTTGGAGGAGAACATTCCAACAGGTATTGAGATCCCTAACCATTCAGGATCATGTAGATCAAAACTAGCACATTGAATTGGGCATAGAAACTAATAGGGAGTCAATGCAGGCAGGCCAGGGCTGGGGTTACATGGTCAATTTTGCTTCTCCTGGAAATCAGCCACAGAGACTGAATTTGTCAAAATCCTAACATGCTTTCCTGCTAGCTGCCTTTTTTGTCATTGACAAATTGTTGTAAGCTATTTTGAATATGTGTCTGGGATTTGTAGTTTGGTAAGATTCTTAGAATGCTGTGCTAGAGAGTTCTAGTGTGCATTAGAGTGAGAAAGGGTAAGGGATTGAACAGGCAGGTGGACACAGATGCACAAAAGAGTGATTGAGCAAGTGAGCAAGAGGGCAGAGGGGTGGGCATAAGGGTAAATGAATGAGAGCAGACAGGTAGGCGCTCACATGCATGAGACAGAGATTGAGTGCAAGTGTGCCACAAGTGACAGAGAGCATGGAGAAGTGAGCATGTACATGAGTGGAAAAGAGGGTGGGAACAATCATGTGTGCAAAGAAAGTGGGTGTGTGTGTGAGAAAAAGAAAGTATGAGTGGGAGCAAAAGACAGAAAGCATGCCTGCACGTGCATGAGAGAGAGAGAGAGATTAGGACCTGTAGCTTAGGCAGGCACTGCCCTGGACTACTAATGCAGGTGCAGGCAGAGTGACCTGGTTTAAGTGAGTTGCTACGTGCCGTGTATCAAATCCAATTTCCTTTTCTCACATAAATAGCCAAGGTGAAGGTGGTTGTCAGGGAAAAAACATTTAGGACCTTTGAAATGCACAGAATCAGCAAACCTACACACATGTATTCCCCATAAATCTCAAGTTTGTGGCTGGCAAGCAGTAGCCTAGGAGTACATTTTTGTTACTTAGTCGTTAAGTCATGTCGGATTCTTCATGACCCCATGGACCAGAGCACATCAGGTCCTCCTGTCTTCCACTGCCTCCCGCAGTTTGGTCAAGGAGTACATTAGAAGGATTCATAAACAATACTCTTCCTAAACACTCGCTGGAGGTCTCTGATATTTAGAAGTACATTGCTTCTGAACATGGAAGATTCATTTAGGAGGATTTCCTATCAGGCAACATGGCACACCACCCAATACAATTTTTCATTTCTGATTCTCATCCTCTGGATATCTTCAGGAAAGTGCCAGGTGGGTGAATTTCTGGGCAGTTTGTTACAATAGCTTAACTCATTCACTAAACTAACACTGGTAAGAAAGGCTTCTTTGTGGAATTCAAGTCGACTTTCTTTATGTGGTGGATTACAAATCCAGCCCTATTTCTAATTGGATTGTATAGGGGAGGGAGGAAGGGGTTTGTAGCTCAAAGCAGCTGGGAAAGAAGTGCCAAGGGAAGCATCTCATTATATATCTGTTGCTACATTTTCCATGTGCAATAAGCAGACCAGCCACATGAGGGAACAGGAGAGCATTTTCATATATATTTTTAAAGACTGCACCAATAACAGTAGTGAATTCATAACTGGGCAACTGTGATGGAAATGATCTCAACTATAAATGGTATTAAAGACAGTAGCATAGGGGCAAAATATGGTATTTGTTATGGTTGCAGGCCAGTGAAAGGTGTCACACACTAAAGACTAGGGGTGATTGTAACTGAATCATAAATAGATGATGATGTGTTTTGGTGGTGAAAACTGTAGCAGCTTAACTTTCTGTTTCCTAGGATAGAATGGAGGCAAATCAGAAAAACTGCATTACTTGTGGCACTGATCATTACTTTGATGTAACATTACATTGCTTTTTATACAAAAGTAAATTTAGGATTGAATGACACACAACTTTTTAAAAATCCTGTCAGTATATCTCTAAAGATGCCTTAAAATGCTGTTTAAAAGTAAGGTTTGAAAGCAACTAGAGGACATTACTTATTGCACCAATACAGTACATTTTTTCATTCATTACTTTACTTTTGAAGTGTAGCTCCATTACCCCTTTGTTAGTCAAAAAGGTAAGTTGTTTTCTTTAACCTGTTACTTCTAAGCTTTGTAAAGAGGTGGCATGAAACAAGCCCTCTGTACCTCTTTTCAGAGGCTTAGCACGCAAGGAAGGGTTTGTCTCATTTGAACTTTATGCCTCAGTTGTGCATGGGCAGGTGGTGGACTCTTCTCTACCATCTGCCAAAGGTGCAGATGATAAAATGATAAAACAGCCGTGAATGTTTCCACTGGTTCCTGAAAAATGTTTCAACTGGAGAGTAAACTATGGTCTCCTAAAGAATTTTCTTTAGCAATATTCAGTGTTGCTTCTTCTGGTTTCCTAGCCAATTTCATTATGAGAAGGTTGGTATAGGCTTGTTGTTGTTAGGTAAAGGTAAAGGTTTCCCTTGACAATTTTTGTCCAGTCGTGTCCGACTCTAGGGGGCGGCGCTCATCCCGCTCTTCAAGCCATAGAGCCAGCGTTTGTCCGAAGACAATCTTTCCGTGGTCACATGGCCAGTGTGATTTAGACACGGAACGCTGTTTACCTTCCTACCGAGATGGTACCTATTTATCTACTCGCATTTGCATGCTTTCGAACCGCTAGGTTGGCGGGAGCTGGGACAAGCAACGGGCGCTCACTCCGTCGCGTGGATTCGATCTTACGACTGCTTGGTCTTCTGACCCTGCAGCACAGGCTTCTGCGGTTTAGCCCACAGCGCCACCACGTTATGTGCTGTCAAATCAGAACTGACTTATAATGACACTAATTCGGCTTTCTAGGTAGGTGAGATATTTACAGAGTCGTTTTACCGCTACCACACCCCCCGTGAGCTTCCTTGGCTAAGTGAAGATTCAAACTAAGGCTTCCTAAGTCCTATTTTGATACAGGTTTAATGTCCACAGTTTTGTAGAAACTTTAATATTTTAAAGTGATTGTATCATCCTTCTTTAGACACAGTTTTCATATGGGAAAGAAATTATGGAAACCAAATGGAATATTTTTGGATGTGGGATTAATGAAATATGTCTTCATTTCTTAAATTGTCTCTATGAATCATTGGCGGCATAAATGCATGATCAAACAAATACCAGATTCCTAACAGTACTCACACAGTTTATAATCTGAGCCTGATTGAACTTTAAGATCTTCAGGAGAGGCCTTCTGCAAATATCAAAAATTCAGAAGGCCACCAAAGTAGAATGCAGGAATGGAACCTTCTCCTCTTGTGGCTCCTAGACTATGGGATACACTCCTTTCTGAGTTATGATTTATTTCCACTCTAACCAAATTTAAGAAAGGAGTAAAAGCATATCTTTTTAGACTAGTACATGCAGTCTAACCTATACTGCTATGTTGTTTTTCATCTGCACCCTTTGCTGATTTTAAATGGTTTTTCACGGCTTTGCTTAATCTTGCACTCATATATTAGCACGCATACACACACAGTAAAATGTATGGACTCTCCTTGAAAACATTTGTGGACTGTCATGATGGGCACATACTCTTTTTGATTTACACTGAATCCACTGTTGGGGATTAGTAATTTAAAGGAGGTGGACCTCTACTTGAATCAAAGGGACACCACAGTTATAAATCTTTCTTTGTGTGTGTGTGTGTTTCTGTAGCAATGAAATGGAAGGTAACAGTTCATACCAATGACCAGCCATCTGCGGGTACCAGCTCACAAGTTTATATTACATTATATGGAGATAAAAGTAATTCAGGAGCTATCTTTCTATATGGAGAAGAGAAAAGGGTGTTTGAAAGAGGAAACACAGATACCTTCACTGTAAGTAAACAATATGAATACTGATTGTTTTTAAAGTAGTAAAAAGGTGACATTTAGTCCAGTCGTGTCCAACTCTAGGGGGTGGTGTTCACCCCCGTTTCCAAGCCATAGAGCCAGAGTTTGTCCGAAGACAGTTTCTGTGGTCACGTGGCCAGCACGACTAGACACGGAATGTCGTTACCTTCCCACCATGGTGGTACCTATTTATCTAATCGCATTTACATGCTTTTGAACTGCTAGGTTGGCAGGAACTCAGACAAGTGACAGGACCTCACTCCATCATGTTGATTCGATCTTACAACTGCTGGTCTTCCAACCTTGCACAGAGGCTTCTGCTGTTTAACCCACAGTGCCACCATGTCCCTTTTTTAGGGACCACATTATATAAAAATTAGAGACAGTTAGCTTCTTTGGTAAGCAAACATTAATATTATTCATTATAGAATATATTTCAGTCTACCTGTATGAATTAAAATGGTGTATGTTCTCCTCATCAACCTGTTACTTTGTAGCCCATGTTTGGATGCTGATAATCCATAGCATCCACAGACAGAAATGGCAAAATACCAGTTTGGTTACAAGGTAGGGAAAGCAAAAAGGAAAAATAAGATGCAAACTGGACAGGTTCCTCAGTTTATTGTATCAGATTGGCTGTCTGGTTTGCTTTTTGCCAGTCACAATATGCAAGAAGACAGTTTGGAGGAAAGCCCCAGCATTGGCAACTCACCATAGGCTCCCTCAGAGTGATCTTTCATGCTTATTTCATACTTCAAGACTAAATCCTCTTCTTCTATGAAGTGCAAATCAGCTACATTTGGCTCCAATTTATTCAATATGTGAACACAGTCACTACACAGTTTGGCCCACCAATTAACAAACTTTATTTTTGGAAGGACACATTTTAAATGCTTGGGACTCAATCTGTTATATGGACGTCTCTTCGGTGGGAAGGGAAAGTTTTTATTAACATTCTAATTATCTACCTTTGACATTGTAGCTTTAGTTAGTTCATTTGTTTATGCTTTTTAAAAATGACTTTATTTTTAAATAGACTAACATTGTAAACCTACTTACCTGGGAATAAGATCTGCTGGACATACTAAGACTTATTTCAGAGTAAAAATACAGGGATTATATTCTTAATATTCTAACTACTATTGCTGTAAGAATAAAGAAAAGGAAACACAAAAAGTAAACAGTAGAGGCACTTCCAGCTGTAAAATGATCTTGGCAAATCTTTTAGTAACTCATGGTAATAAGCCGGCAAATGTTCCAAGACCATTCTAGCCTACAGAATTCTCTTTTAGTATGTTACCAAATATGTTGGTGCCTTAAGGCTAAGCATAAATGCTAAGCAATTTGGAACATAAAAACATTGATTTTGTTTGAATGTTCCTCCAAGTTATGTATTTAGATACACGACATTACTATTCACTTGAACTATTTATCATCTGAAGGCACTAGAAAGATAGAGGGTCTGTCTGGACATGCCAAAATGCCATCACAAAAGGAGCATGGGAAGGCATGGTTAATCTCAAAGGTAAATCGTTCGTTCGTTTAGTTGTTTAGTCGTGTCCGACTCTTTGTGACCCCATGGACCACAGCACGCCAGGCCCTCCTATCCTCCACTGCTTCCCGTAGTTGTGTCAATTTCATGTTGGTTGCTTTGCAGACACTGTCCAGCCATCTCATCCTCTGTCGTCCCCTTCTCCTCTTGCCTTCACACTTTCCCAACATCAAGGTCTTTTCCAAAGAGTCTTCTCTTCTCATGAGATGGCCAAAGTACTGGAGCCTCAGCTTCAGGATCTGTCCTTCCAGTGAGCACTCAGGGTTGATTTCCTTCAGAATTGACAGGTTTGTTCACCTTGCAGTCCAGGGGACTCTCAAGAGCCTTCTCCAGCACCACAATTCAAAGGCATCAATTCTTCGGCAGACTGCATTCTTTATGGTCCAGCTCTCACTTCCATACATCACAACAGGAAAAACCATAGCTTTGACTATTTGGACTTCTGTTGGCAAGGTGATGTCTCTGCTTTTTAAGATGCTGTCAAGGTTTGTCATCTCTTTCCTCCCAAGAAGCAGCCGTCTTTTAATTTTGTGCTGTCTCCATCTGCAGTGATTATGGAGCCCAAGAAAGTAAAATCTGTCACTGCCTCCATATCTTCCCCTTCTATTTCCCAGGAGGTGATGGGACCAGTGGCCATGATCTTCGTTTTTTTGATGTTGAGTTTCAGGCCGTTTTTTGCGCTCTCCTCTTTCACCCTCATTACAAGGTTCTTTAATTCCTCCTCACTTTCTGCCATCAGAGTGGTATCATCTGCATATCGGAGGTTGTTGATATTTCTTCCGGCAATCTTAATTCCGGTAAATAGGGGTTAATAATGCTGGTGTTTACACTGCATTGCAGAAGCCATATCCTTGAAAATGGATAGTCTAGGCTTCCCTGGAAAGAAATCCTTATATATTCTATCCTTGATGAAGCTTTTTGTCTGAGTTCCTCCTGCCCCCCCCTTTAAAGCCAATTAAAGGATTAATTAAAAGTGTTTGACTGGGAACCCGTGATGTGGAAATGAAGAAACTTGTTGAACTATTGATTTTTTGTGTGTTGTTATTTTAACAGATTCACACACTAGACATAGGAGAGCTCTACAAAATACGGGTAGGACACAGTAACTCGGGGGAAACTCCTGCTTGGCATTGCAAAGAGGTGAGTTATTCTATTAAATAAACCTGCTCCCTGATGATTCCAGCAAACTGCACACCTGTTGCTTCACCAAACATGAGTCATGCACATACTTCCTGTCACATGGCTAGAGTGTTAGAACAGCAAAGAGTCTTGTGGTATCTTAAAGACTAGCTTTGTGTGTGTGTGTGTGTGTGTGTGTGTGTGTGTGTGTGTGTGTGTGTGTGTGTGTGTGTGTGTGTGTGTGTGTGTGTGTGTGTATTGTTGACCGTTACATCAGGTCCATACATCTGAAGTAATGGGCTACACTGCACAAAAACTTATCCCACACAAATGTTGCCAATCTTTAAGGTGCCACAGGATTTTGATGGTTTTGCAACACAGTCTAATACAGCTCCCTCTATCATGGCAAATGTAGGAAATAACTTGTTGCCATTACTAAAGAAATGGTTCTGTAATAAATATTATTGTCATAACTAAAGGCACCATTCTCTAATAAATAGGACTTTGTACTTGGGATAAGGTAAAAATAATGGACTCATGTCTTGCAAAATTTTAGGAACTTCTCCAAGGTAATTAATCATGTTAGTAAAACAGCAATTGGCCGGAATCCTACTGCAGATTTCCACCAGTGTAATTGTGTAAATTGTGCTGGAGAATCCCTGCTAAGTACAAAATTGCTGCTCACATTCGTAGTTCTGTGCCTGTTCACATGACCAGGAAACACAAGTAGTAACTTGTTAGTTCATGGCATTTTGCCACTGTGATTTATGCAATCACAGTTATACCGGCATACATTCATACATAGCTTCAGGCCAAAGTCTCAAGTGGAAAGTTGACTATGAAAATGGTAGCCTGTGTTTGATTCTCTGTTCATTTATTTAACTAGAGCCCTGTTCAAGAATAAATGCACTGTAAAAATGCAGAGGTATATTTTGCCCACCTTTGTTGTATGTAAAGCTTATACATGAGTAGGTGGAGGTGGGTCAAGTTAGGGATCTAACACAAACAATCTATCATTACAACCAATGTGAGCAAAGTGTACCCCAAGCCCTACAATATATAGTGATTTGAAACTTCTGGAAGCCTCTAGGAGTCTTAATTATTTTTTTTAAACAGGCCACAGACTTCTTCTGCATTGTTTTATATATGCCGTTCTTCCAAATTAGGAGTGGACTTCTAGCCACTTTCAGATTCATTTTTGTAATGGGAAGGGGCATTGCTGTGGTCTATGTGCCCCCAGGTAGGTCCTCTGGAAGGTGAATTGGCTCCATCTGGTCTCTGGTGAGTCCTCTGGACAGTGATTTGGCTCCAGGACCTGACAAATGTGCCTGCTCTGATCTGTAAGCTTGGAGAAGCATGTCTTAGGGCTTTCTGGAGTCTGTCAGTGACTGTATTGCAGAACATGCAGAACTGAGGTAAACATGGTGCAGATTCATTCTGTTAACTGTAAGAGTTGTTCTCATCTGTTGTGCATAGTTACCAGTTTATTTCTGGAACAAGTGTATGTAGAAAAACATATACAGTATAATAGTTTTTGTTCTCAAGTGTTCCATCGTGAACAAACATAAAATGTCCCTGTCTTTCTTCTTATGTTTTCAGTTTCCAAGGTGATAAATCACAAACTCAGAAACAAGTTTTGTACAGAAATGAGATTAAATATATCGGTGAACTATTTTCATATAAATATTTGTTCCTTACTTACTTAACTGGAAATATATTCAAAGGGAAGTCATTACATTCAGTCATCAGAACAAAAAACTTAGTCCCCAGAGAAGTTGTATTGCCTTCTCTTATGTTTCTCTTTAGGAATCAAAATCTGAGTGGAAACTCTGTATAGTGGAAGAAACCATGACTGATGCTTTATGTACATAGTCACGGAAAAACAAAGTATACTGAGTGCATCATGTTGCCACACTATTTACATAAAGGGAAAATAATTAAAATAATTAGTGTCTTTCTATGCAGCATTAAGAACTAAAGAATAGATGGCAAATGGTTGTTTTAAGTTATTTGGGCTGTTTGGCCGTGTTCTGAAGGTTTTTCTTCCTAACGTTTTGCCAATCTCTGTGGCCGGCATCTTCAGAGGACAAGTGTTAGAACTGTGTGTGTTTTAACACAGACTCCTGTCCTCTGAAGATGCCAGCCACAGAGACTGGTGAAATGTTAGGAAGAAAAACCTTCAGAAAACGGCCAAACAGCCTGAAAAACCTACAACAACCATCAGATCCTGGCCATGAAAGCCTTTGAGAATACACAGATGGCAAATGCTTCTAATGTCACATAGTAATCAGTGGTTCCTTGGAAGTGAGTTCTAAAATCTTCAAGGCTTTTAATCCTGAGTTTATATCTTCCATCCAGAACAAAATCAGAAGTTCACCTGCTGGACCCTAAGAAAACACATTGAAACTTGCAATTCTAGCAAAAGCATGTTACTGGAAACTGTTACTCTCAATCTTTCTCACTATAAGTTCTAAAGTTTTCTGTTTTGTCCACTAAACATTGATGTATGTATACAAAGAAATACTTTCTTGCAAGCATCCCTGTGCATCATCAAGGCTTTGTATGCATTTTTTTTTCTTGTGGTAATGAGCTTGCAGACCAGTGAACCATCCTCACTGAAAGTGTGTCTCTTCTATGTTTGACCTCACAGTGGGAAAATAATACTGACTGGTATGGCATTCAGTCAAACATTTTCCCTAGCTATGACCTGGATAAAATGATTTGAGTCCTTGAGCCCTCCTTACCTTGTCCTGCTGCCACTGCCGCTGCCATCTAGAGAGACAGTGGCTTGGCTTCCCTTCTAGGAGCTGGGCCTGCTATCTTTGCATCTGCACATTACCTGCCTCTGACCTGAGAGGTGAGGGCATGTGCAGAGGTCACCTGGCTGTCTGACAGGCCAGGCTGCCTAAACAACAACAACAACAACAAGTCAGCTGAGAGGCAAGGACATGTGCCAAGGCTTCTGGCCTGCAGGGGCCGGCTGCATCTCAAGTTGGTGGTAGCAGTGACAGAGGAAGAAGAGGAGGAGCAGGCAGTAGGAAAAGGTAGGGAGGCAATGGGGGTAGTGGGAAATGGGCCAGGGAGCAGGCTGTTGTTTTGGTTTTAAGATAGTCACTGGACTGTCTAAAACAAAAATCTGAACAAACCCATGCCCCGATTTTCAGTTTGTTCAGGAAAAGTTCATAAATTTGTGATTTGTGGACTTCCACAAATCATGAATCAAAACAAATCACCATTTTGACAGTTCATGCCCATCTCAACTGAGTGTTGCTGAGCAAAAATCATACAAACATTGTGTGCATCTTTTTAAAGTGTGGTCATGCACTATACTTATATAACTCATGATGGGGCCTGCCATCATGCATACACATACAGTACATACATCCTTGCAAATTTATGAAACATCTTGACATATTGTGTTAACACAACCCATGTTTTTAAAATTCAGCATGAAATGTGATTATCTGTTCCAATAGCATGGACTGTAATAGCATAATAGTCTAATATAGTTTTTTTAAAGCACACTTCTGTTCATTATGCCATGCAAAAGCAAAACAAAAATGAAAAAAGAAGACAAGAAGATTGTGGCACCCTATAGACTAACTGCTATATTTTAATGTGAGCTTTGGTGGACAATTCCACTTCTTCAAACATCTATGTACACAAAAGCTCACATTAAAATATAGCAGTTAGTCTATAAGGTGTCACAACTTTCTTGTCTTCTTATTTTTCATTTTTGTTTTGGTTTTGCCTGACATGCTAGCACAGACTAACATGGCTACTTCTAAAACGACTCCTATTCTTTAAGCTTAGTTGCTTGTATTTCAGGTGCAACTGCAAAATCTTGTGACAGAGGAACACTTCAGTTTTCCTGTTGATAGGTGGCTGGCACAAAACCAGGATGATGGTATAATCTGCCAGGAAGTGCCTGTTTTACATCACGGCCAGCCTCTTCTTCCAGGTAGATGGCACAGAATATAAAGATACCTATTTTTGATGTGATCATTGTATTTATGAGGACATTACCACCATAAGCTTTAGTATGGGAAACTAATGGAAATATATTAGAGATACATTCTGGAACAGATGGGACTTCTAACTTGTCTTTAAAGCACAGCATGAAATACAGTGTATTACTTTAACCTGTTTAGGATGTTACTGAAGAATGATCAACTGTGGCTAGGTTTGCTATTCAGAAATAGTTGGTAAAAGGCATAGAAAGCACCTGAGTATCAAGGGAAAAGCTGGATCACATCATTCATGACTCTTCCAAGGGGGTACAATTCCATCTAGAAAAGGCTGTACACCCTATTCCCAGACATAAAAGGCATGTCGGTGCTGGGCCTCCATCTTCTTGGGATTCAGTTTCAGTAACATATATAAGATGTTGATTACGTTAAGGATGTCTGAAAAAACTGTTAAGCACAAATAATGCATGTAGAATAAGACAGTTGTCTCTTATTGTCAGTGACAATCTATGAGGTGCACATAGTGACAGGGGATCTATGGAATGCTGGAACAGAAGCTGATGTCTACATTGTGGTCTATGGAGAAAAAGGTGACACAGGATCCCGACAACTCCTTAAATCAAAGAACCCTAGGATGTATCTGAAAGGACAAGTGAGTGAATTAAAATAATAAATTTGTAGGTTTCCTCCTCCTGTCCCCAAAGTGTTGCAAATATTTCTAACAGATTTATTAATATGCACACATATCTCTAAAGCATAAGCCCATTCCCAAAATTATGCCACTTTGAGTGATATGGTAGGAGATCCTGGCAAGCATCCTGTTCGGTCCTTATGCACATGTGGAGCTCCAAGTGTGGATGTTGCCATGGTGATCCGACAAGTGCTGGTCATAAGCAGTAGTCGCACCTTCCACAACTGGAGTTCTATTTGTATAAATATTGAACAGTATATGGACTATTTTCAGTAGCATATCAGACATCTTTTGGTTAACAAATGATGTTAACACCAGATTGGCTATTGACCCCACCTGGCTTGGCTTAGATGCTTGAGTTATTTGGGGCAATTTGCTCTGCAGGAATCTTCTGTGTTTAGAAGCTGGCAGGTTGTTGCAAGTGCATGGCCTTTCCCTTCTTGGTCTCTATGGAATGTTTCTTCACTTGTATTAGCCTTGGACAATCTAATAATTCAGTAAGGTCTTGAATAATTCAGCTCGAAAGTGCCTGTTGGACTCCTATTTGAAAATAACATTTATAGAAGAATAGCCATCCAAGTGCTGCAGTATTTCACAATAAGTTTATGGTCCACATTTGAATTGGAAAAGTACATTCCTTTAGGTATAAACTAAGTTTGCAAACTTGCAGGTATTTCTTAGAGTAAATGCTCAGTAAGGCTTAGTTCACAGAAATCCATTGATCTCAACAGAATTTACTTTAGCACAGACAAAGATATGATTTCATAACAAGTATAATGTCAGTATTCAGGTCGAAGATATTTATGGCTGATTTTTCTTGTGAGAGCAAAACATGACCCTCAGTGTGGCTTTAACCAGGAGCTAGCCACAATATTTAATGCTAGATATATTGTTTTTCGAGATATAACTCACATATTTCTCGAATCTGGTTATGTTTTAATTGCTTAATTGCAGACTGATGTCTTCTCACTTGAAGCTGTGCACCTTGGAAAATTACGTAAGATTGTTATTGGACACAACGGACTTGGCTCAGGTCAGAATGGGCAATGTAATTAGTGGATGCTATAGCTACACACTGAGTTGTGTAACACAGACATGATACATGGCCATATGACTGCTGGGCTCATAGAATCTATGTATGTCTTGAAGAAACAATGGCTCCCTGTGTCAAACAAGTGATATGTGAGACAATTGTGGCAAACAAGTCGTATGAGGGGAAAATGGACAAAACATATCCACCATCATTTATTTATTTATTTATT